AAAAAAAAACAACACCACAATACAGAAATGTACACCCAGAAAATGTCACCCAGCTGCCTGTGTTTAGCCACCCCTTCTTTCAAACATACACACCCTGTCTCCAGAGAAACACAGATGATGTGTTGGTGAGCTTACCTATAAACATCTCTCTTTGCAGAGATATGTAACCTGATGAATGTATAATGTAAGACATAAATGCGATTTTAGTATATAGGAGAACTCTGACATTCATGATTTATCAGGATACCAGGATGGCAAATCTAAATCTTCCTTCCACTGATAAGAAAGCTAGCAAAGCAATGGACTGTGTTAGAGCACAGGAATTAGGCTTTCTTAATGACTATTCTATTGTGTGTATATTGTATATTCAGGAACTACAGCAGTGGTAGGTAGTTTTTCTTCAATTAAAGGCTACTTAAGTAAAAATCTTTTCTTTCCCTTTTTTAAAAGAGAAATTGAAATGGGCTTATCATCTGATTTCAAATGAACAGGAGAAATAAGCTTTAATTCAACAAATTTAATTTGTTTAAAAAAATGTATTTCCTGAATTGTGGGTTTTACCATAGAGTCTACAGAGAGAAAAGAAAGGAGATGGAATTATTAAAAAGCAGTGGTTCTTTTTCAAATTGTGTTCTCCAGACCAGCAGCATCAGCATCACCTAGGAACTTGCTCAAAATGCAGTTTCTCTGCTTCATCACCCCGGACCTCTTGAATCAGAACCTTTGGGAGCGGGGCTCAGCAATCTGCAGTTTTACAAGCCCTCCAAGTGATTCTGATGTGCGCTTAAATTTGAAAACCTCTAATTTAGGAAAGAAAGACTGAGACCTCAATTAACATCCCATCTTTTGGTTTTCACACTTGGGAAATTTTGGCCCCGTCTTCACAGCTCAGTTATTTTTATAGTACTCGTTCCTTAGAGAGCTAGAGCTCACAGGTCAGTGTTTTCTTCTCTGGATTATGTTATTAACTATAGTCCAAGTTGCTCACCTTCTTTTTCTCTAAGTAACTATAGATAAATTTTTTTGTTTTGTTTTTTTTTTTTTAAAGATGACCGGTAAGGGGATCTTAACCCTTGACTTGGTGGTGTCAGCACCACGCTCACCCAGTGAGCGAACCGGCCATCCCTA